TAATTTATTCTCCTATGGAAATTCCTGTTATAATGGAATTCTTCCATTCTGTGAATAAATTTTGGATTCGTTTAATGAACCATATTGAAATAACAGTTTTTTATCTTTTTATTTATTGATTGATTTATATAAAAAACGTACGTAAAGAGCAATGATAATACAATATGCCATAATACTGTAAGTAAGTCGAGAAATATGCTTTATATAAACTTAGTTACAAAATAATCTTCAGTTGTCCTTTCTCTCTCTTCTTTTAACAATAAATATTTATTGTGCTTGTTTATTGCTTAAATCGGTCAATAGAGGAAAACGAAACAGTCCTAACGCATTCTCTGGTCTTTGGACCAAGTTTGCCAATTTATTCCCACGTTTCAACTCGGTCTTGTATAATATCGCTCTCGGAACGCATGGTACGGTACTAAACACTCCTTGGATGAGAATCTGTATATAGAAATACATAGAAATGTGTTTAGAATTTTATTTGAAATTCTTGTTTCTGGTGGCGGTTCCTCACGCATACTTGTGTATTCTAAATACTTTTTTCTATAATCGAAACATTAACAACAAACTCTATCTTATGTATAATATGTATATGATGTATGTACATACAAATACTCTTTCTGGATTAACTTCAACGTTATATGTATATTATTATCTACGTAGTTAACAGTAGGCATCTATCTGTGTTATCTGTAATATAAACTTCTTAACAAATAGAGACGAAACATATAGATTGGGATTTGTGTCAAATCACCTCCAATCATTTTATTGACAATGTTTTAATCGACGACATTTGATATTAATTCCGCTGACAATGAATTCATTGACGGTAAAATTACCGATATTGACACTGTATTTACTTAATTATGTATACGAAACTGTATTTCTATACCATTATCATCTTATAGTAAAGTAATAACTAAGATATAATTATATATTGAAATAATTATGAAGTTATAAGGTAATAACTGTAAACTGTCGTAAACATTGTCAGCGAAGTCAGTGTCAGTCAAATGTTGTCGATTAAAATATTAAACCCACAGATTGATATTAAATTTTAGGGTGATCAACATTATGAATTTTCGAATCGTCGGAAATAGTATTATCGTTATCTTTCATATGCAAATTGAAATCTCATCGGATTACACTTACAAGTAGATTGTGCACTTCTTAGCGGACTCACATGCGTATCTTCGAAAATTTCTAATTAATTAATTGCGAGAGAATTGATGTAATACTTGTAGGTGTATATCGTACTAAAAATTTTCAGCGTACATTGTCTGATGCCTTACGGACGATTGTTTAATTATTCTACTAATGACTGTAGGAAATTAGCGAAGATGTTCGGGACGTTGAACATAAATGGTTGGAGCACGACGGTAGTGCTCCGTTCATTGAAACGAGGCGTACGCCAGACATCGAGAACATGGACCTCGAGCAATACCATCAGTCCATATCGCAGTCAGTATCAGATTTCATTTGGCAATGAGCTTTCGAAAATTGCTTGAATCTCGTTGAAGCTTGTTGAATCCTCTTTCACAGGATGAACAATAGTCTTAGTGAGATACAAGCCGATATACAACGCCTGGCGAATCAACAAAACCAAATTCAGCAGCAGCATCTAATGACGCAGCATCAGCAGCAGATGCAGCAACAACTTCAGCAGCTTCAAAGTCTTAGTCAACAGCACATGCAGGTATTTATGCTACTTCTGAGTTTATTACGATCAGTCATATTAATTACATAGTGCTCTTTCTTTGGTTAAGAATTACGGAATGCCGCCTATCAACCCGATGACATCGAAGTTACCGGATACGCAGCAGTCACAGTTTTATCTGCACGATCAGCCGCAGCTACAGAGACGTATGTGGGGTCAGCCACCCCCTACGCAGAATCTAGCAAATGAAATGGCTGCCGTGGGTTACCAGCAATCGATGGATCCACGATATAGCAATCAATCAACAAGTAAATAAAACTTTTAAATGCTAGCCTTCATTGGTAAGAGACAAATAGAAACAGTTACCGATATTCGGGAATAAATAAACAATTGCAAAATGGAATAATCGATGGATATCCGTTGATTGAGACAGTCACAGTCTGAGATGGATTTTAATTATGCACGTAATTCGTAGCTTACCAACAAGATATGCGGTTGTATCAAGACACGCGGAATTGGGGAGCGCATCCTCCTCAGCAGAAAGGATTCGTTTTGCACGACACCCCTCCTCAGGAACCGAGGTACCTCAACGGTGGTGATCATAGTCTGTGTAATAATCAGATGAGCCATCCTGGTTCTACATATCCATCATCGGCATCTATCTTTAATCAAACACCACCGTCTTCTGCTAGTCCACAACATCGTAACGCTGTAAGTACAGTACGTTACTTTTTATTTATATTACTTTATGTAATTTATATAATTTTTATCATAATTAATAGAGATTATGATACTATCAATAAGAGAACGAAATTTTATATGAAACTTCAATCCATTAAATAGTCACGTTGAAGAAATGAAATTTATATAATTTGCTATTTATAAATAGTAAAATAAGAAAAGATGAAAAGAAATTATATATACTTTTATAATACTAATTTGATTCAACAGTGAAATCATGTTTAATTCTGAGGATCGTACAATTCATTGTCCTCTATTCTTTTGATTATTATTTGAATAGCAAGTGGATTGCCTCACGCTATGTATATATATGTATATAAGCAAACAGCAGTCATGGAACCAGTTAGTGATGCAATGTACATTTATAGATACTTTCTTCACGCTTAATATGGTAGACGCTCGTCGCTTCGAAGTCTGAACGCTTGTAATCTTTTACGATATTAGTGCTTCTACTCTCATAATACGCAAACTTGAGTTCGTTCAAAATGCGGTTTGTTCATTTTTCTAGTACCAGCACTTCGTACAATTATAGTCATGAGGTTCGTTTATAGTGACAGTTCTTCGCTTATTGCATTGTGCGACGCGTTTATTAAGCGACACTGTTTCCAGTCGTATCAGTTTTTCGTCTTTTCTGGCACAGGTTCATCGAATAAGTCAGTTAATGAGTGAGAGCCCGGAACCAAAAAGGCCAACTGTACATCACATACCGATCAAGTGCGAAAGCCCTACGGAAAAGAGACCAGTTACTGCGTTACACGCACCTGTTCCAGCTCCACCTGTTGATGACATGAAGCCTCAGAATATATCGTTTATTGGTGAATATTCTTTCTCTCTCACACATCTAAAGACACACGTATCACGTACTCAAGAGATCCATTCGACATTGTTATTTTTTCGTCTCCATTATTTTCTTTTCGTTGAACTCGTTCATGTATTTTAAAGGAAATGATGATGAGCTTACGCAAGGTATAAGAGGTATAAACATCACGTCTGGCAGCCGTACATATAGAATCCCATCACCAACTAGACCCACGATATCGCGTAATTCATTTCAACCTCACTCATCATTAAGAGAAGCCACACCATCTCCGTCAGGTACACCAGAGGTAACGCCTTTAGATCCGACGGACGCTGGTGAGAAAGGATTCTATATTTGCTTCGACAACGACGGGCCCAAGAAACCGAAGCCAACGCTTCGAGTGAAAAGAACTTCTCCTAAGAAGGTGAATGAATATATTTCTGAAATTCCATGATCTTATTTTCAATAAGGTCGGCATACGTTAAACATGATTGTACATATTTCAGGAAAGGAGCATATCGTCGTACGTTGAGAATGAAGATTTCACAATACGTCCAGATACTCCTTCCGACAGGCAAAGACATTTGGAAATTGAACGGGAGTCGGATCGAGAGAAGCAACAACGTCAAGCGGAGGAGAGAGAATTCCAGCGGCAAGAACGAGAAGTACAAAGAGAAGTGGAGAGAGAAAAGCAGAGAGAGCGGCATGACGCCAGTGGTGAAGGCAGACAGTCTGGAGTCGGATTAATAATCGGAAATCAATTAGCAAATCCTGATCCAGTAAGTTTACGCGCGATTATAATATTTATATTCGTAGCTTTTCACTATTTTGTTCTTTTTTTTTGCTTCATTGATACTTTTTTATAGAATTCTCTGGACGAAATGGAACGGAAAAAAGAACGTATAATGCTCCTGTCATTGCAAAGAAGACAACAGCAAGAAGAAATGAAAGAGAGAAAGGAAGCGGAAGCGCAGGCGCGTCGGGAACAAGAAAAATTGAAAGCAGAGGAAAGAGCTCGTAAAAAGGAAGAAGAAAGGCAACGAAGGGCAGCTATATTGGAGCAGCATAAAGTGAAGAAAGCGATAGAAGAAGCGGAAAGAGAAGTAGGTGTTTTTCTGAATTAAATTTTCTATCGTCTTTTATTTATTAATTGAATCAGTCACCAAAGACAACATTATTTAGGGCAAAGTCATTGATAAAGAGCTTCTTAATGCGATAAAACCGACAAAATTGCGTAATAAGACTGTAACAACTCGACCAAGACCCAAAACGATTCACGTGGACGCTGGTACGGAGTTGGATTCCGGAGCTCTTACGCCGAGTCGCGGGAAAAAGGGATCTTCTTCTAATCTAAGTACAGGTACAGCTACGCATTCTAAGAAATTCGGTAGTATCAAATTCATTGTTGCAATGATCAGTGTTCCTTTATTTTTTTTAAATTAATTCCGTACACATAACAGTTTATTTTAATTACCTATAGTATATGTAGTTAAAACGAATGATATTTGCCTACACGTCTGTGTGACATACTTATTGTACGATACATGCACATTTGTTTTCAAAATGAGTTATCACTGCTATCGCAACAAGCGTACTCCTTTCCTACAAATCTTCTAATAACGAGAATTTCTTAATGTTGTAAAGTAATTGCATGGCAAATATTCAATTCAAAGTTTTATCATTTTCTTAGTAACGCCGTATTTATATTGATTTTTGTTGATGTTATAGTTTTCTTTTACTTTCTTACAAGATTTCATCCAGTCACAGTTTTGCCGCAAGCTCTAAATTTTCTCGACTACGCTAGTTTACCGAAACGTGCTAAAACGGTGTGAACCGACTAAACCTCGTAGATTTCGTATTAAACTATGCTAGCGATGAAAATATGGAGCTGATTTGTTTTGCACTAACACACTTACTATAGCGTCGCTGACCTCCCCGACGATGAGGCGAGATTACTACCGAGGTTCACAGGACAGTCTCACCGCTGCTCATTTCGATGAACGACGTTCCGGCCCTCTTTATCGGGGCGGCAGTCTCAGGGGTACGCACAACACACACTCTGACTCATAGACATCTTTTTCAAACATCACATACATATGTATGTATGATGAAAGTTCGTGCAAGAAAAAAACATACAAACATAATCCAAGCAATTCATTTAGGAAATTTAAATAATCAAATGTTCCTTCATAATTATTCACTCTGTGTTTTCGAGTGATCTTACATTTCGTCCTTACAATATTTGACAAAATTGAAAGATACATTAATGAAATTAATCAATTGTAACGAATATACTGTGTGTAACAAAGGCATCGTATAACACAGAATACAAATATGTTAGTTCATGTCTGAGCCAGTATTTGACGATGTTTTGTATGCAGTGTTTTTCGTTTTAAAATCATATATTTTTACGTATCGTTTACGTCACAGCACCTTCTCGTGTCATTTTAAATTTTGCATGCTTCATATTTATTTTCGAAGTGGCATTCTACATGTATTAGTTAACAGTATATTAACGTATCGTAGCGAAATATAATTTTAATAACACATACATTATGTAGTATCTAGTATCGTCCTGGAGAGGTACTAACTGATTGTAATAGAGGTACCCTATTTTAGTATCTTCCGTAGATTCACCTGACGACGGTAGAGGTTCCTCACCTTGTCGAAGTATGAATCAACTTGGACGTCGTGGTTCCTACAAAACATCCAGAGGTGGGTCGATCATTAATTTATACGTAGAACGAATGCCATATCGTGTTCCTTCAACGGTTGGCTTGATGAAAGTAGGTTCGTTGCAGGATGTATCTATCACTGGTATGGGCAGCTACGTACGAATCTTACAATGTTGAACATATACATACATTTCATTAGCATTTGATATTACCCCTTCTCCAAATTACCTATATATGTCTAGGGTTACTCGAAGGGTATGACTTTATTTTTTTAAGTAGCGCCTCTTAGTAGACATCTTTCAGTTGGAACGCAACATTATTCTGCACCAACCTGCACCGGCTGCATTAAGTTTTATCGGTGTTCATAGTTGGACATGTGGCTCGTAGTTAGACTCTGCCCCTGACGATGCAATGACGTACGATTGAAGCATCCCCTACTATTTAAAAAATCTCTCGATCGTACATAGCGTTTTGGAATGTAACAAGGTAAACGTTGCATTATTGCAGATGTGCAGGAGCCTCAGCAACAGGTTAGAGGCAGGCCTAAATACCCGAGTTACCAAAACTTTAAGGGGAGAAAGTCTAACTCCTTGATGAATTTGTGTGGTAAGAAGCACCAGTGACTTGGAATACGTTTAATCCCGAATTTCTATCGTGCAACAGTATATACGTCTATATACATATTTTACATGTTCCCGTACACCGTTACCGTTTTTTTTAGGCTGTTAGCATATACACACGTAGTCGCATGACGGCAGATCGGAGCACAGGTGGCAGTGATATTTTATAATTACACGCATACACCAACAGCACATTGTTTATACGTACTCGAAATTGTATCTGCTCCATTTTACATTTCCAATATCTGAAGAATTTATGATTTATGAGTTCGTTCTTACTAGTCTTTCTTTTTTTTTAAATCATTCTTACAACGAAAGTATCAAAATTGATTAGACACCTTGTTAGCCAGTAAGTGCTAGATTTTATTCATTGTCTGTTAAAGAGAGCCTTGAAACAAAATGGTTACAGATTTGAAGCAGAGGATCTGCTTCTTCTAATACCAGCCACTACTTCCAAAAGGGAAGCTAAATGTGGTCACAGATGACTACGGATTTGGAAACAGATCTAACAGGGCTTTCTGAAAATATGAAATTTGGATATGCAAAAAGAGTATTTTGTTATTACTCTGTTATATTTGTGTTAATATTTTATATTTATGTTCATTTTTGTGTGTTGATTCTCATTGTACAGTAGTCCTGAGAGCAGATAAAATTTCGATTCTCATTCACAGGATAATCCTTTGCCGCAGTAGACAAAATTAAGTTGACGCTTGTTGGGCTTATCGTTGTACAGTACTGGTTATGGGTATTTCGATACTTTTCAGTGTTCTTGCAGACAATTGTTGGTGGTTCCAGTTTCCATTTAATAAATAATTTCCTTTCGCTCTGACTCACATCTAGGTCCTGTATCACACGGTTGTCCCATTCACGTTCAATATATATATGTGATCTTTCTAGAAATTCCTATCTATTTTTATTTCCAGGTATTGTGGTATTAGAGCATAGTAAATTCATCTCGGCAAGAAATATATCATTCTTCATAGAAATCATAAGTGCTATACAAGTTTAATGTACTAATACTTATACTCACTTTAGATGAATTTGTTATGCCTTCGTTTATCTGCCTTAAAAATTGTATACAAATTTCACTAGCAATCGTACGTTTCAAACAAAACTGTCCATTGTGATTCCGGTAACGTGTTACAGAATTATAGAACAACATAATTATAAAACAAATAGTTCCTTAGAACGTTTTAGAATCATGGCCAATTCCATCTTTCTTTTATTTATAACAAATTAGACAGTGTATAGAATATCAAAAATATATGCCGTTCGTAAGATGCTATTCAAAAAAGTCATGGCATCACGGAATTTGTGTTGAGCATTGCCTGAGTTTGAAAGATAGTTACTCAGCAACAGGAAGATTTTATTTTAGAGCTTGAAATGTTAGAGCATTAAATTAAAAGTCTCTGGATATCATTTTAAAGTAGAAGTTTCAAGCTTTAATTTAAAAGAAAAATTATTGTCCTAAAATAATCTCCTGCTGAGTAATCATGTTCGAAATTTGGGCGATTTTCGACACAGATTTCGCGATGTTATAAATTTTCTGAGTAATGTACATCGATATCTATTGAAATTCTTATATTGGACGCAAGCTATGAAGATGGATACTTTTGAAGGTCTTTCGTAAGTCTAACAAGTGACTAATACCTCACGGTCTACATCAGGAACTAACTGTTCATAATAACTAAAACCATTTATAATAGATAAAATTGACAACGTTCGAATTGCTCTTGCTTGGGTGGGTAAATGAGGTTCGTGCCGGTTCGTCACCGTCGTGGGGGTCGTATCTCTCGCCTTTTATGTCGTGAATGGGCGTCGTACGTTCAGAGTCGCTCTCCTTTTATTTCTATCTTCATATATTGAGCTTGCGTTCGCAGGTTCGAGTAGTGATCAAGACGGTATGATGTGTCGATACACAGATACGGACAGCGGACTGGGCAGAGCCACGCCGCCGAGGAGAGCGCCGAGTCCGGGCATGGGCAGTATGAGACATCTCCCGTCACCTTCGGGGCCCGGGTCCTTACCTCCTGGCTTAATGACCAAGAGGCGGGTGTTCGACGATGGTAGCAGCGACATCAGCAGCACACCGAGTTCAATGATGGACTACAACGGTTCGTAAATCAACAATCGAATTATACTTCTGCTTACGTTCCAAATAATTCATTATATTACATGAAATTTCATGAGTTCACAAGATGTTATTATTTTTTATTAACAGGTCCAAGATTATATAAACAACCGACCACTAAGTCGAATCGTGGTATTATGTTGAACGCCGTGGAATATTGCGTGTTCCCGGGTACGGTGAACAAAGAAGCAAAGAGGCGAGTATTAGACGAAATCGCGAGATCGGAGAGCAAGCACTTTCTTATTTTATTCCGAGACGCTGGCTGTCAATTCCGAGCTCTTTACTCGTACTGCCCAGACAGGGAAGAGGTATCGAAGTTGTACGGTACCGGGCCAAAACAAGTCATCGATAAAATGTTCGACAAATTTTTCAAGTACGTTTTTTCAATTCTCATTCTTGTTTACAGCATACTGTTTTTAATATAAGACCGTGGGAAGAATCAACATAGTCCTCACCGTATATTATATGTATAATATATAAATTAAGTATGCTGTATAAATTGATTTTTACGAATATAAGTAATAACTTGTTTCCAGATATAATTCAGGAGCAAAATGCTTTTCACAAGTTCACACGAAGCATCTTACCGTGACCATAGATGCCTTTACGATACATAACAGCCTTTGGCAAGGTAAAAAGGTGAATTTGCCGAATAAAAAGGATATGCCTCTCGTCATATAGTTTTACACAAGCGTTACACTTAACATTATCGCTACTATGCCCTCTGTTGTTCATAGTTACTATTTTAATACAGGCCCATATTAAATTAAATGCAAACGTTGCGTTCTTAGTCAATTTTATAAATGACGAATGATTGATGCTGGCGGGTAGATCCTACTCGCGTGCAACCTGTTTTACAATTCTATGATTGCATACTATACATTGTTATCGCGTTATGTTTCTTTTTTTTTATAATCCGTTCTGTCTCCTCTTTCCACGCTTCTTCTTTTTGTTTTTTTATATTTCCTTCGCAACCTAACGTTAGCATCAATCATTGTGTCGTAAGATTACCAATATCTAATGAATAAGGATGGTTTGTTGTCAGTATCTAATACTTTCACGGACTAACTTTTAACACGTTAACCGCCTCGTACTCATGTGAGCCAGGAATGACGAACTACTTGTAAGCTTTTAAAAGTTATTCGAAGTGATACAATTAGCCGATTATGGAACTGGCTAGTTAATTTTAAGACTCTCGGTGAAAAAGTTCGTCAATTCTGGTAGCGTAAATGAAAAATCGTGACTGATGTAAAAGGTATATGTTTCTCCTAAACCATTTCACCATTTTCTTGTTAAAGGAGAAAAATGAGTGAGTGAATGTGTGTGAGAGAGAGAAAGGGGGCTTTCATGAATGTTGAATAACAAGTGTTTTTGTCTTTGTACTGCATAAAATAATTCGCACATTTTCCCGTTACGCGTAAATTAAAAATGCTCTTAATTATTATTATTATTATTATATCACTGTAGTATCATTAACGTTTACTGATCGCTAAACACAAACGAAGTATCATTAATTTAAATATATTTTTGACAGGATCTATAAAGATTCGAATCCTTCAGTGTGATTTTTATATTTAATTAATTTCTATTTTGCATGATTAAATGAAAGAAATTACGAGAGAATTATCCAAATATTGTCTTGCGTCTCAAGATTCCATTTTCTTACAATCGTCATTTTTCCGAAATTTTACTTTAAAAGTGATTCGAATACTGTCCTTATGAGGATCATGCTTATCTGAAACTTTTATTTGCGCTCTACAATATGCATACGTTGGTCATCGCGGAAGAGTCCTTGTTAAAATTAGAGATTTTTGCAGTCCGTCTTAACGGCTGCCAGTTGCTTGTACGTAGGTAATGTAACATGCTTATCGAAGGGAAAGGAACTTATTCACGGGCTAAAAATTGATGGAAGATTAAAAAGCAGTGTAAATACGATAAGTTGATTCTAATTAGTGAAAGAAAATACCAAATCAGCCTTAAGATCGATTTGAATATGCAAGAATGCTTTTCCTTTTACCACACAGGTTCTTCAGTTATAATTTATGCGCATCTACATGCATTACAATCTATCGTTGATTTGGATATATTGAAGCGAGTTTCATGAAGCGCGTGTCGATATAACTGATATGACCTAGATCTGTGAAGACTTTGAAAAGAGAGAGAATGAGACCAAACAGTACCAAAAAAAAAAGAAAGATTCGTTTCTTCTAAAGAAGTGAAATAATGTTGGTAATTGATTAAAACTTATGGAAGATGCTCTGTCCTTCAAGTTGCTCTTTCTCTTTCCTGTGCGCATTACTTATTTTGTACGATGTATCGAAGAAGTCTTTAGTATTGAAGTCGTTTAATTGTGAGAGGAAGGTAGACGACGGCTGGGATGTAGATGTATCGGGAAACAAAATTGTTTGCAATGCCGAAATGTTTTCTATTGTTTTATTTGCATATATTATTTATTCGAATGTCCTAGGCCTAAATTAATGTTTTTATTTTTCGTTTTTAATCCGATTCCCATAGAGTCTACGTTCCTCGTGACACGAGAAGTGTGTCAGCAGTTTATTTATGATAGTTTTAGCGTAATTGTTACAAATTTTAAGGATGCCAACTAACGTTTAACCCGTTTATAAGTTTGGATGATTTCCTCTGTGAATTTTGTGGACAGTACATGAATCCCTTTTCAGGTGGCAATTGTTTTTTTTTTTATTTCTTTCTCATTTTTAGTATGGTTCTTCTGTCCTAGTGGAACGTGTCAGTCGAATTTTGAAGCGAATTCTTGTATTGTAAATGGATAAATAATTAGCATAATATTGTGAATAACGGAAGGACTATTTATTGTGCCATAAATTGTAAATGTCCGCTGTTCGTATGAGACTGGCACCGACCTTCCATCTTAAAACGTTTCGATCCTTTTTAACATGTAATACAATTTGTTTGTGGTGATCCGCCGATAGAACGAATAGGTAGGAACTAGATAGAAGTAAAACGGAACTTTTGTACAGTAATATGGAGGGTCTATACGTTAGCGAATTTTCCTTTCAACATTTTCTCTTTTAATTAGTATTACTTTTAGTACATACGATATTAGATTTTTTTAACCGGCGCGCAAGGCAAAAGGAAATGAAACAGAGATGATCCAGTGGAGCAATAGACCCCTCCGTATTCTGCAATGGCATAACAAGACAAGAAGCAATTGATTATTATTAAATAATTATTCAACATATCGAATTTCATGTTCTCCACGATTGAGCGCGATAAAATATACTTTTAATTCGCAACGATACACTTGGTTCAATTGTCCCGGGATCGTTTACTTCATCGAGATGTGACCTACAACGTTAACGTGTTACAACGGAGGGACTTGGAAAAGAGATATTTTAACTTCGAAAAAAAAAAATCCGTCTATCGTAGCATTCAAAGAGGATCAACATTATTCTATTCTTGCCTATTGCAAATCTCTCTACTGCGTGCATCGTTAGAGAAGAAAGGGAAGTAATGAGAAAATCGAAGAGAGAAAATTTTTCCGAGCTTTAGACTCTGAAAATAAGTCCGACTTGACAATATATGGAACGAAATGAATGAACGTCGTAAGATGGATTATATATTATTTGAAAGCGCAAGAAATAAAGAGTCTACAATGATAAACGAACAAATGAGCAGAAAGTTCTCGATTAACAATATTTAACAGTCACTAATCTTAAGGAGGAACATCAGCTTGCGGAGGAAGGGATTGAAAATATAATATATGATGCATATACATATATAAAGAAAAGTTGCAAACATAGTATGAGGACATTTTGGCGGAAAGAAGTTAAACTGTAACAAGGAAAGGGTGATTGCTTGTGCTTGATATTTATATTTTTCGAGAGAGAGAAATATTATTAGTGAGCTGATGGAGTAAACCAAGCGTGATAAATAACGAAAACCCAAATGGTACGAAATAACGAAATATATACAAAGTATACATATATCGCGCTTACTAATAATAGACGATTTACCCTTATGTAATAATTCTCCATTTTTATTGTTACGAATGAAGAAATGAAAAATAGAAAAACTTCGTCGAATCGTGTCTCTTCGGTTTATTTGTCTCTCTGTACATATTATGTTTTTATATGCGCATAAGTGAAACTACACAACATATATCCAGCGAAAAACAAAACTGTAGTAATCGAAGTTTTATCTAGAAGATGATTATTTGCATATCGTAACGTAATTTCAGAGGAAACATTTTATGTTTATTTTACTTCAAGGCGGGATTTAAAAATTTTGTTTTACTTGATTTTCTTAATTATTTTAGAATCATTTTAAAGAGAACATTTTGTTAAGCAATGCTTTTTCTTGTAAGAAGAATATGTACATTCAGATTCTTAAATATTCTTAGAACAGAGTAAATGCGAATTTTAATACAGTAAGTTCCGATTTAATAAAATAGTCATTTTCTTAGATAAAATTTTTATCAATAGTTTTGATTTTCATTGCGTATATGCGTCGAGTACATGAAGTGAAAGTTTGAGTCGTATTTTACCGTTAGCGTCGTACAGCAAATAACATGAATAAAATGTAATAACCGATTTTGCAATAGATCTTTTATTCTTCTGCGAGTGGTATATATATTATATACACATATATTGAACTAAGTGTGTCTTCTTTGTCTTAATTGTTTGTGTAATGTAAATATATAAATTGTTATATATTTTATACACAATAGCGGAGGCGTCTCATTGTTAATTTGTCTGCATATGTATAATATATTACAATTCAACGAAATAAGAAAAGAATACTAGACATAAATATTAAAAATATTCTTGTAAAGAACGTTTCTCCCTACGCTACACTCTTAATTCGTTAAGGACACTTTATTACACAGCGGTAGATACTTAACTTTCGCTAATCCTCCTCGCCTTTAATCGTCTTAAATATTTAAACCTTGATACCTTTACTATCGCTACGACGACAAAATAATTTCATCTTCTAGTTGTGCCTTCATTGTTTATTTAAAATACACGGCTTCGATCAAGCGCAACTTTTCACTTCTCTGCGCGCTTCACCGACATCGTTAGTCGAACTTACATTTAACGATAATAAATAGCTTTAAATACTGATGTACAATTGTTTCGTGACTTAAGAGTGAATTACAAAATTAAGCTATATATGGCAGTGACCTTGCTACTTAACATGACTTTTTGCATTAGAGTATGACGGGTTCACAAATACAATCCGACGCGAATTCGTGCCACAGTTCGTTGATGTTTCAAGAGACCGTCTCGCAAACTATGTTTCGCACGATAGCTGAGACATTCGTTAGAAAGAAATTGTTCAAGCGTTCGTTATACATCTTTTAATTACATTATATCATTAAAATGAATCGAGTGTTTTATAAGGATGCGTTGGCAGAGTTTGTGAAACGTGAATCTTGATTTATGCGTTCGCACGTTAGCATCTTTTGGCTTCGTTTAATCTTACGTCTTAACGATTAAAGAATTTCCCCACGTTAATGATATGGCACTCGACCCCCCGGTGTGCAATGGCAATCGAACACAACGGTCCATAGAAACGAGTTTCAAGCATCGTACGTCCTTTGAACAGTCTTTGGAAACTACTAAATCGAATGACTCGAGACTGGTCCACACGTTCTACTAATTACTCATTATTGTACTGGACAGGAGCTCAAATGAATATTATGCAGTTCGTCCATGTCTGTCCAATCTCGTCTCTCTCCTCCTATCATTACGTTTCTTATACATCCGTTGAAATGATCCCTGGTTATCAATGTCCCTTTCGGAGAAGTGGCTGCAAAATTAATATTAGTCTTCATTAAAAATTTCTTCTACATATTTCTTAATCTGCTTTCAGAATTTTAAAAAAGAACTTTAATTATTGTAGTGTTTTTATCAATGAAAATCCTTTTTTTTTTAGTTTTTAATAAAAATAATTGATTACCCGGCAAGCCACCGATGTATAGAGGAGCGGAAATCGTGGAGTCCATCATGTGGTAGTTAACATTAGCCGGAAGACCGTATTTCTGATCCAGCTCATCGACCTTCAGCGTCAACTCCTCGTCATTGTAAATCGCTTGTATCCTATGCCATCGATTATCGCAAATAGTGTAAGGACTTGGAAATCGTTGCTCCACGTATAATGGATTATTATCTCCCAGATCTCCCGACATAATCACTTTACCATTGTTCAGTTCTAACGACAACGAGGGTGAATTTCCGGGCGCTGTTATAGAAAGCAGAACACCCGATAATTCCGATGTTCGAAATTCTAATTGAAGTTCCAGAACATCACCCAATTCAAAATTCCTCTCTGAAAATATAAAGTAGTTTATTAGTTTTATTAAACGATCTAATTTCTTTCATACATTGTAAGTTTTTTTGTTGTACGTTAAATTAATGAAGATTTAACATCGAATATCTTACTGTATATGGCATACGCTTCGTCCTGGAAATACGCTCCACTTTCAACATTTGGGAAACATTGTCCGACGTGGTAAGCCCGACTCGTCGAGCCGACCATGTCGTAGACGTTCCCGTTGATCTTCAATCCTCTGATACATCCTTTCAGCGTTTCAAGCTTGACGACGACTTGTTCAGGTATCGGCGTTCCACTTTCAGGTAAGCCTCCGATGTACATCATGGAGGCCAGTCCAATCTTCCTCGGTACTTTAATAGTAGGTGGTGTCTGGGCGTCTACTAGCACCGTTAACTTCCTTTCGTTGTGGCTAATTACTACGTGATGCCAATTACCGTCGTTAAACGGAGTCTTAAATAAAATTTCCTTCTTCTGTTTGCTCTTTACTAATAGTAGCAGCTGTCCATCTCGTATCACGACCATGAGGTAGTGCTTCGGTCTAAGTCCCTGTAAAAAAACAATATTGTAATTAGTATATCGTGATAAATATTTCATCACGTATTAAATGCTAATTAATGTCGTACGATATTGATTCCACAAAAAGAGGTACTGTATAATAATATTAATACTGCTACGATAGTTTTTAAAACCCTTACGTACCGGAGTAATGAATAGTAAACCATTAGGATAATACGTCCTGAAATCGAACTCTATTGTGTATTTCTTCTCCCAGAATTTTTTGAAGTTTAGATAAAGTTGCGTGTGGCTGTTTGGCTTATCTCCGAACTTCAGAGCCCCGGCTTCCAATGAATAATATGGTACTTTTTGACACCCTTCGGGTTGGGTGGCCATCCCCCTTGATAAAGATGCTGATGGCGTATAAGTAAGAGGATCTTTGCCCATACTCGGTCCAGGACGACCGATTAATGCATGCTCGAAATTAATCGCTTTGTCGAAGTGAATAATTCTGAAAAAATACATATGAGAATTTAAACACCTCCACATGTTACTTCATGTATTTTCGACGTTTCTTTTTTTAAATGTATCGCTAATTGATAAATAAAGACATTTGTATCAAATTAGCATCTCACTTACTCATTGTTAAATATTACGTCCTTTATAGCACCGTACAAAGGAATAGTAGTGGCGATCATATTTGTGTTATTAATGGATAATGGTAATCCTCCGAAGAATAATCCTCCGCTCCCGTCGGGAGCTTTGATAGCAACGCTCGTAGGCAGTTTACCAGCGCTCTGATAAACGTCATCTATTTGCAATTCAATGTCTTTTCTTCTTTTAATTATTGTCACTGTATGATATCTCCCATCGTTGTAAGTTTCGTTCGATTGTAAAACGAGCTCCCCTTTTCCACCATTCAGCCGCATTTGTACTTGACCATTGATCACGGCAAAGGAATAATAATTTTTTTTCTAATAGAACAAATTAAAAGTACAAGTTATAAACAAGTTCAGTATCAGTTTAGTACATATTTCATTACATATAAATAAAATATATAAAATTGACAATTAGAAAGAAGAATTAATTTACAGATATAACTTAGTAAGAAGTAATAAAATTTTACTTACATTTGACTCATCATGCCTAATACTAGGCATACGTTCTTCAAGTCCATCGAACGTCGAAAGAAGAAGCATCGCTTCCTTTTGCATCGTTCGAAAAGTGAAACTCATCGTGTAGTTCCTTTTAAGTAAAGTGTGCGCGTAATGTTGTAAATAGCCATTTCCATAAAATCCTACTATTTTCAAAGGCTGCAAAATTACGAAAATTTATTACAATTACTTTATACAAAATTTTCTTTTTATGTACGTAATTAATATTGCATTTTTTTTATCTTTGTGTCTTACTTGAAGATTAATTTTAAGTCCTCACCTTAATTACGCAACTCTGTTCGACGCCGTAATACTGTGCCTCCATCGGATCGTAGCCGTTCCTTTGGACCTCGATATTCTGCATGCAGCCGAGAAAAGAAATCTGCGAAGGTAACATCAGCTTCTCTGCGCGGAAACTCGGTGGCACACCGCCGATATAGAATTTAGCGTGAAGAAAATCAGGAATGTCGTCTTTCCTCGGTTGGGTAGACGGCCCGACAATCTTCTTGTCATTTTCCCCGACGCTTAAACTACATTTCTCGATGTATTTACGCGGCTGATACTGTCTAAGCGCGTCCACCTTCGTCCAATTCCCGTTGTTATACTTCATATTCGAGGACACCTCTATGCTGATGTTACCACCGTAGCCAATATCCAGAATCACTTTACCCTCTCGTAAAAATATCATTACGTGTTGATTCTATTGCGAACAGAAACAAAACACGATTATACTCTTAATTATTATATTAATAAAACGGTTTCTCTATCAACGCTGTCTTGTCGGTCACTCTATTTATATTTTTCATAGCGATCGCTATCAGAATGGGATTTAGAAATAATTAGAATGACGTCACTATTACATACATTTTCTGGATTAATAGCCAAGAAGAGTAAAGAGTTTTCATCGAAAGTCCGGAAGTTAATCGACACTCCGAACGTATATTTGTCGTAAGGTACAGACGAAGATCTGCTTCTAACTGCATAGCCTTCTCCATTGAAGCTGAAACCTGTGTCAACTTTGGTGTCTACTCTGTAAAATTAAATTAAAGTAAATAAAATAATTATCTCAGTATATTAAATCCTACAATTTGTTAAAGACGAGAGGAAGCTTAAACTTCGACTCACTCTTCTACGCAAGCCTCGCAAGCCATGTCTGTGTTTGTAATGAAGTTCCAAAGTCCTATCGGTTTTCCATCCAGGATGACTTGATGCACGCAAGCCGGAAGTCCATTAAGCGCGTGAAGTTCGGTACTTCTTCGCTCTGATCGCATAATTTTCCCTATCCAGATACGATCCGGCGTACTCACATCGAAACGACCGTACTCCGGATCTGTCGAATTTCTTACTTCGGTTCCAGTTGCCGATATCTGCTTCCGCAAGTGTAATTTACCTACGTGACGCACTCTGAAGAAATTAATATTATTATAATACTTCTTGATATCATGAGTCATTGATCGAATAAATAATTAGGTATACGTAAGTTTAAACGACACTACACCTTTCAGCCTCGATGCGATACCAGAATTTATCGTCCTGAGGATCACCGCTTTGTATGATCTCAGGGTGAGTGACGATACCGGTGCCTCCGCCGACGTTCCACATGAATCTTACTCTTTTGTTCACAATCTCCAAAGCAATGAAATCGTCCTGCGAACAAGAATACAAGTCGTTTTAATATAAAAATTAAATAGCCTGTAATTTATTCTTAACTTAAATAGTACACCAACATTTATACTGCTTGGCAGATAGAACAGAGGCCCGTCCTTTTTTCCTTTTAAAAGCGCAAAGGTCATCACGATTGAATTCGTCGTCATTGGTTGCAACGTGGACGATCTGTACGATCGGCCGCATTCTTTACCTTCCACCGATTTCATTGAAACGCGAATCTACGAAATAAAAATCTAGTTAAATCTCCGTTCAATTCACGTAGTAAAAAAACGAAGATATTGTACTTACTCCATCGGCGATGTCTCTAGCTTCGGCAATTTTGTCTTTGAGATGTTGCAGTTTTGTAGATAATGTGTCGTTCCATTTATCGAATTCTTTCTTCCCTTTAGCCGCAGCATTTGACAAACTTATTAACTTTACATCAGCTCTTTTTATATTGCTGAGCGCTTCCGCCACTGAAAAGATTTTACTTCTTTAAGTATACATAAGAACGCGTCAATGAATGACACCAGAAACTTACATTTCTCAGTGGCTAAGTTAATCTTCGAATCGCCGTCTCTTTTTAGATCGTTTAACTTTGGCTTTAATGTATCGTCGATCCCTTTCTGGGTATTTTCGATAAGTTCTCGTAGGTCGTCGACAGTTTCCATTACCATTTTATTATCTTTTAATATATTTTGTACATTTTCTCGCACTAAAAAAGCCATAAAATAATGTTTACCATTAAACAAAAAATTGAAAGTAGAACTATAGCAAATATACGAAATGATTAATTATTTTGATTAACGAACGACTAACTAAAAGAAACTTACATCTCTGACTATCTTCTTGTAATTTTTGCAATTTCACATTGACTTGGTTGTCTTTGATTCCAGTACTGTTCAGAGTGTCTTTTAAAATATTCACTGCCTCTTTCTGAAGGTCTAATTTATACCTCGCATTTATTACTAACTCTCCTTGTTTTTGTGCTTTATCCTTCCACTTGGATGACGCCAGGGACTTTTCTTTCGAGCTATCTAAGAGTGTCTTCGAAACAGGTCCATCCGGAAACATCTGAAGAAATATACTTTAAACGTAGAACCGGAAGTCACTAAAACTTTATTATCGGGTTTAACTCTCCAGGTAGCCAAATACTTTTAATAAATAATTTAGTAAATTCAACAAATCGTTTGTATTTATATGATTACCCGCTTTTCTGACGATTGAACAATTATAATTGCTTTCTCTCACCTTATAAGTATCCTGCGCAATGTCCTTAGCCGCCTTTATGTTCTCGACGATATTCTTGTACGCTTGGCTCGCCTTCAGCGGACTAGCTGCGATGTTCCGTGTCTCGGAAAACAGACTGCTCGGCAGAAACGCCAAGTTGCACTTTATCACGTTATCGATCGTCAATTACATAAAATAGTTGCGTACGATTAAATAGCGATTATCGATTCGCAACTGGAGCTGTCTTTGCATTTTTTTTTCTTTTCGAGATAATATGGATAGTATAACATTCATGTATATACTTTTCTTACAGTCACAGGACCAGTGCGAAACATGAAGCAAATACTAAGATCAGGAAATTGCTTTCCCCTAAATAATGCGACATCTGAAAACCTGATTCACTGAATAACTTTGCCTTACCTTACATACTGATCGACGTAGTTGGATAAATTCTTCACATGTTCGATCGCCGGTTTCACGTACGTGTTGTTATAATCGTAGTTCAATCTGTACAGCAATTCTTCCTTCATACTCAATTTATCAAACCAGTAAATTAATTTGTTTCGCAATTCCGGAAGATCCTATAAGTAATATAAAGATAAATCTTCTTCTCTACTTTTACAATTATCATAAAAGCCTGAGTATTTATAGTTTCTCGACTATGTATAATGTTTGTACATACTTGTTTATTATTTTGGAAATCGACGATAAACCCACGCGTCGCGTTCGTCAACTTCTCCGCCTCAGCAAGGGATCCGTTTATCATATCGTGTAGCTTGTCGATTTCGTAGCAATCGTTTTTAGCTTCCAGATAAGTTTGATTAATATTATTGTACAAGCCATCGTATGTGAATAGAGTCTCCATCGTATCTTCTATGATATTTCCTATATCGTTCAGTTTAACGGAGTATTTCTCCGCATCCTCCTGAGCTTTCGCTAACGGTTCCGTCGCATCGTATAACGAATTCAACCAATCGGTATATTCAGCAAAGTCCCTGTTGCACAAATTTAAAATTATTATTCGGTCCTCAACGCATTAGCTAAACGATAAAGATGGTATCTATTAGCAGTTCTGATATGAGACGAGCGTTTAGGTAAATACTAACTCGAGAAAATTTTCAATTTCCATTGTCTTCCTTGATAAATTCACGCTTTTCAGATGGTTTAAAATCATCTTTGCCGTTTTTAATGCTTTCTTTATCTCTATTCGTCTATTGTCGTTACTATATTGATTTAGCAGCAGAATTGTATCTGAAATAATACAAATATTGTATGTACACGTTATATACAGACATTGATAAAAAGATTTAAGCACCTTCAATGTATCTTCTCAAGTCATCCAGTTCAGCTTTTGCGCTGAATACATCATTTCGTAAAACGCTGCTTCTGGATTTTAATATATTAGCTTCCTTTGAATATTCATTTGCCTGTAAATAACATTAAACTTATAGAATATTTCTTATATTTAATAAAAAAATTAAATGTTTTAATCGTAATGCTTATTATATTAAATCAATTTGAATATACGAATTTAAATAAATATTCAATTAAAATTAAACGTGATACATACAGTTTTGAATAAGGCCTCAGTGCGTTTCAGAAGTTCTCTGTATTCGTGACGGGGAACGTTTCTCATTCTCTCCTTTAGTTTGTTTTGTAGTTCTATTTCCTTGAGATACGCGGTTACATTAGAATCGATATAAAACAAATCTTCGAACGGAGGAGGAATGTAGCCACTGGCTATGTGAACGGTGCCTTCTAATAATTCTTGTGACATCGAAGCCACAGTGTCGAGCAATACACCAGTACAGTTATCATTACATGCTAGCAAAGAAAAATGCAACGAAGTTAAAAAAAAGAAACAAATTTAAGAAAATAATATAATAATTAAAACATAAATATATCAAGCTTTTCTCTGTATTCATTTTTTAATTTAACAAGTACAAAAATCAAATATTGCAGAATATAAAAAATTCTTTTTTACTAAATAAAACGAAGCTACAAAAATAAAGAGAAACAAATCTAAAAATAATGAGGTAATAATTAGCATTAAATAAATGAAGCTTTTGTATTTGTAAAACTTGTATTCATTTCTAAGTTTAACTAAGAAAATCGATGAACTATTGAAGAATCTAAAAATTTTCATTCTACTAAATTAAAGACAGAATATTGATCAAAAATTGATTTTTCCATAATTTTAATTTATTTTTTACTTACACGTGCAAACGTTGTTTATATAAACGTGGCGATACGCGGTGCATTCGGAACAATCACGGCCGATGGATCCAGGTCTGCACCTACATTGTCCCGTTTCCGTGTGACATTCGTCGCTCAAACTCCCGGCGGGGTTGCAGTCGCACGGTACACATTTACCATCAGGAAGATGAGGAAATCCAAAATACCCGGGAGAGCACCGTTCACATTTTCTACCAGTATATCCTGTTCAAATAAAAGAACATAAAATATCTTCTTCCATAAATTGATAATATAGGATAAGAAATTGAAATAAAATTGCAGTATTTAGTGTACGAACCGGATTTACAGATACAGATTGGATCCGCGTCGGCGAGAATCATACAAGTGTTCGAGAACCTTTTGTCAGTTTGCGGACAGGGACACGGTTTACATCCAAAATCTGGATGCCCGTAAAAGCTGTCCGCGCAAATATCACATCGAGGTCCAATCGTGTTTTCACGGCAATTCTGCAAATTTACAAACAAATTTACAATCAATCAAAAAACAAATTTATTTTTCTTTATATAAAATGGATCCAGGTCTGCACCTACATTGTCCCGTTTCCGTGTGACATTCGTCGCTCAAACTCCCGGCGGGGTTGCAGTCGCACGGTACACATTTACCATCAGGAAGATGAGGAAATCCAAAATACCCGGGAGAGCACCGTTCACATTTTCTACCAGTATATCCTGTTCAAATAAAAGAACATAAAATATCTTCTTCCATAAATTGATAATATAGGATAAGAAATTGAAATAAAATTGCAGTATTTAGTGTACGAACCGGATTTACAGATACAGATTGGATCCGCGTCGGCGAGAATCATACAAGTGTTCGAGAACCTTTTGTCAGTTTGCGGACAGGGACACGGTTTACATCCAAAATCTGGATGCCCGTAAAAGCTGTCCGCGCAAATATCACATCGAGGTCCAATCGTGTTTTCACGGCAATTCTGCAAATTTACAAACAAATTTACAATCAATCAAAAAACAAATTTATTTTTCTTTATATAAAATACAATAATTGTTTTTTAAATATGATAGGTAGTATTCTTTATTTTATAATTATATAATATAAAAATATTTACCAAACAATGTCCCGTTTCTATATGACAAACATCGGATCTTCTGTTACACTGGCAAGGTTTGGCTTCTCCAATTAAATCGATGACAATAGTGGACGTGACGGTCGTATTCTTGTACCATCTGTAGTATCCGATACTTGGGTCCTGGCAGGAGGTGCTATTATATTGCGGAGGGCATTGGCAAATTTCGACACTGGTCGCGATCGCGGGTATATGCGTCGGTGTTAATACCGCAACGTCTATAGAAGCATCGGCTAAACTAAAATTTTGTATAATTATAAGTCAATTACATAACATTTTGTACATACAGTAAGATTTTTTATACATACATCGTTTTTGTAAATTCAGCATTGTCCGAAGCTTTTATTAAAATGTATTGTAAATTCTGCAATGCAACCATTAGAACTTCTCTTGTGACTTTGTAGTCAGGCCTGTTTTGCAAGTGCCACAGAGTCTCGTGAAATCTAAGATAAATTCCATATCAGATTATTTATGAATTTATTTGATTTTAAGCTAATAATTTGTAATAATTTAGAGAGAGAATTTTCTCGTTTATATAAATGTTATAATTACCTAACTTCGTAATGATTATTATTTACAGGCGCAGGTAAGTAGTATTCTAAGACAATTTTATTATTCCCTTGTAACTGCACGAGAGGATACTCAAGGATTGATCTTAACGGTATCCCGTCTTCAGTAAAAGTTGTAAATCTTAGAAAACCTCCATACGACAGGACCTTGAAATTATTAATAGATCTATATCATTTATCTTTGTATAATTATTAAGACTGTAGATTTTATGCATTTGTAGGAAAATGGTATCTACAGAAAATATAAAAATATGATATAATATCTAAATACGTAAAGGACATCAAAAGTGAAATATATCATCCTTAAACGATAAAGGGAATTCATTTTTTAAGTTGACAGACGTTTTATTTTGCACGAAAATCCGTAGTCGATTTATAATAAAACGAAAAAAATTGTATCTGTTCGAATGTATTTTGTAGAGATTATCTGATTGAGGGAAATACTAAATTACCTTATCGCCTAGGAAAGTTTCAGGAAGCATCCAATAGAGAGGATAGTTGTAATATAAATTAGATGGTATCGTAACGTCGCCTTCGACGTCAGGAATTGTTGTAAGACCGTTGGTCACATTCAAGCCAGCGTTAACGGGCGATAAGAAGACCTGAGATCTGAATTTAGAAACCTATGAACAAAAAAAACGAGGATTTACCTTGTATATTTTCTAAATATCATTATAGTATAATTTCTATTTATCGTAGCGCAAAATGAAATTCATCTGAGTCAAGATTTTTCTTCGTAAAATGCGACGATGCACTTACTACTATATCGTTGCTGGTAACATTGACATAAAGAGTTCGCGGACGTGTTAATCTCCGCTGTCCCCAGCTGAGACCAGCTTGCTGGCAAGAAGTTGTTCTGCCAAAACAGAAGCACTCGGTACATCCTTTTGGGTTGTCGACCGCCAAACCAAAAGTACCTTCCTTACATTGATTACACTGTCTTCCAACCGCGTATTCCTACGTTGTACGTAACCGAGAATAATTATTTTTACATTTGCCCGTAATAAAAAATCGGTTATATTATGAAGAATATTGAGATCAGGTTTGCACCGTTGAGTCGCATTTACCTTGCACGGGCACTGTCCCTCGTCGTTGCAATCGCAAATTTCATTACCGCATTGCAAAGTGCCGGCCGCGCTGCAGCCACACGGTCGACACCTCGGGTAACCGTAGTAGCCTTTCCTGCACCTCTCGCACCTAAGCCCGTCGTATCCTATCCTGCAAGGACATTGGCCCTGATGGTCGCACTGCGGCTTCATGGAACCGAGGGTGCACGCGCACGGCCTGCAACCGACTCCCGGGACCAGGTCCCAGGAACCGGGTCTGCACCTGTCGCAGTGCTCTCCGTAGGTCAACGATGGACACACGCAGCGACCTGTGTCGGGGTCGCAAACGTGACCAGGCCGGACGCATGTATCACAAACTAAAAATATTTCATGTTCCCTGTGATTAGAATTCGTAGCATATCACTTAAGCATTTCAGATTTCATTAGACATTCTTAACCGAAGCGTTTCATTCAATAATGTTATTACTAGACTGTGCATTTTATGCATTTATAAAAAATTAGATGTCCGGAACATATAAAAAGTTAATGCAATATGCAGAAGCCTAAAGGACATGAAATATAATACAAAATGTACAATAAAAGAACATAAGATATATAATACTTTTTAAAGAGTAAAAGAAATGTTAATAAAAATTTCATTTTTTAAATTGACGAATGTTTTATTTGAAAATCTGCAGTCTAGTAATTACACGTTACCTCTTCCAGTTTCTAAATTGATCTATTCCTTGGAATGCGAATATAATTATTATCCCAGACTGTATATTAAATGGAATATGAAATTTTAGATTACCTTGGCACCCATTCTGAGAGAATCCGTAATAACCAGGTAAGCACACGTCGCAACGTTTCCCCCCTATTCCCGGTTTGCAGTGACACTGTCCGAATGCATCGTGACAAGTGGAATTGTACGCTCCTATGGGATCGCAGTCACAGGGAGCGCATCCCATTCCCGTTGTTAAACCCCAGAAACCAATCTTCAAAAAGAAATAATATGAAAACTACTATATTAAGAGATTATTGTGCAGAAGAAATTTGAATATTAAGAATGCACATGGAATGTACAATCTGCACGCAATGTTCAAAATGTTCAGAGCGTGTAATACAATGATATATTTAAGGGGTGATACAAGTTATAAACTGAGAACACAATAGTCTCAAACTTGTAATTAATATGCACATAAATGTATTCATTAAAATGAAATATACAGGAAGTCTTCAAAAATTGTATACACACTTTCATTAATCATAGTTTCCAGTAATCATGGTTTAATAAAATAAATTTCATTTTCAAAATGGAATAGAATCTACAGACATGCTCTTTTTGGGACATCCTGTATATAAAATTTATTTAAATATATTAAAGTCTTGTTGTTTGTGTATGTATACTCACCATGCACTGGTCACATTGTCTGCCAACGACGTGAGACTTGCACTGACACTGCCCCGTTACGATATCACAAGTAGTAGTTGTTGAACCAGTAAGATTGCATCGACACCCTAAAAATGATCAACAACATTAGATCGTACATTAAGCTTACATACCTTTCTCTTACAATTGTTAATAGTCATGATTTTTATCATAAAAATTCATTTAGAAAATCTAATACGTATTTATTCTCTTTGTACTCAGTTTCAGTGCAGATAGTACAAAAAGTACTTGCGTATGTTTTATTCTTTCTCAGTTAGCAATTAAACCTGTATTCCCTTTTTCTTGCAATTGTTACAAGTCATGATTTTTCAAAGATATCTTCTAAGCCATCATAAGAATTGATTTAAAAAATCTAATACATATTTATTCTCCCTGTACTGGGTTTCAGTGTAGATCGTACAAGAACTACGTGTGTATGTTTTATTTTTTCTCAGTTAGCGAGATATGTGCAACGATCTATGGACATCATGACCAGCATTTTATTTATAATCAGTCAGTGTAGACCATAGTCACGCATGACTAGTGTTTGCTGACGCGCGATTGATCGCGTTTCGCAATTAGCAATGCCGACGAGAGGAATACCAGCATTGTATTCAAACGACTTCACTGGCCTCGGTTGACACTTTCACCGCCTGGCTGGTCGCCCGGCGACCAAAACTAAAAGGAAAGATCTCTGGACGAAAAACTCTCACAATGGTCATAAATCGTAAACAGGTACCACCGCTGATTTGAATTCAATTTGGTGACGTCAAACACTGAAGAGATGTCTATAATCGTTTACATTGGTCGCATTACCGCCGTTTATTATGGTACTTCCAGACTACTAACTGAATTCTTATCTTCCCTTTATCTCTGCCAAATTCAAGTGCTTCAACATTCTTTCACCAATTGTCAGATACCATAAACAGGAAATAAGCACGAAGCTTTAAAACTGGAAAACAAAATAAAGACCGGTATTCAGAATCGTTACTTCTTTTTAAGATCGGCTAAAGCATTCCTTATCCCTGTCTATCCTATATTTCCAGTCCCTGTTGTGTACAGAAAACAGGGATTTAAGCAAATGCAGACGAATTATAAAAATAAGTAACGACTCTGAATACCGGCCAATATTTGCTTATTTTAAGCGGAAACTAAATCTATATGAGCCTTAATTCTAAATTCTTTGGAGTCTCTGCATTTCAATGATCTCGTATAAATGATCAAAATGTGTTGTTTAAATTTTCATTCTAGATGAAGAAATTGAAGAAGAGGACATACACATTTCTTCATACGATTTTTCGAACTCCACCAATTTTAATTTTTGCTAATTTTATTATACTCATCTGATG